CCTCGCGGAAGGGAGGCGGTGGGGCCCCGGGCGGGCGCTATAGCGCCCCTCGAGGGCCCGGCCCCAGCTGGGGGTGGCTGCGTTTGACAGCTCGGGCCGGGGGAAGGCCCCGCCTCGCCTACCTGCAGCGCAAAGCAAAAACTGCAGACAGACTCCCGGTAACGCTGCTTTGACTTCAGCGTCACTAACGCTGGGGCTAGGGCTGTGGCGCAGCACGGAAGTATCATCATCCCCTCCTACTGCAATACAAACCTTCAGTTTTCTTACGCTTACGCACCAACGTTCAATTCCCATTTTTACAACATAACCCGCCTCTGTCAGCAGTGCCAATCCAAAATATTAAAACTAAGGGTTTTTTTTAAATTTAACTGGTGGAAGCAATTTAAATATACTTACAAGGTCACCTTTTCCATTCACTAAGCTTCTGAAGTACATATAATTTTTTGTTCTTAGGCTTTTTTCCATTTGGAGAGAAAATCAATCCCCAAACCCGTACTGCGGGAGGACTGGAACTAACAGAGCTTGGATTCCGAAGAATTTGTGCCTTCCCATCACCTAATCTCACTTCCTCCCTCGCCCCAAATCCCCCCAATACCTACCTACCCCGCAAAACCACAGTATCCACCAATACCTTCACCTCTCAGCAGTACTCCTCCCCTGACTTCAGACTCCCACTAAACCAGAAAAATAGCTAATCCTAAACACACAAAATTGTTACATTATACAAATACATGGTAAGCATGTGGTTTACTTGGCTTTTTTTTCTTTTGTGCCAGTAATGATGCAAAATAAAAGAACTGTCACTTTTAATTTAATCAGGTTTTATTTTGGATGTTAATATTAACATTTTCAGAAAATGGAATCAAAGGCTGGCCATAAAAAAAAGTTTACTATGTATCAGCAAGCAAAGTCACGTCTTTTTTTTCTTATTCTTTACTTTCTTCCTGGAGAATACGGCATGCTTCATAGCTGATCTTTTACAGATCCCCATCTTCACCCTCTTTAGCGTTTTCTGCCTTTCCTTTTTGTCAGCTCTGTAAAGCAAAAAAGGAATATACAGATTAGAATAAAATGGAGAACGTACTTCTACATTTGCTGGTATCTCAAATTATCTGGCCATGTAAGTATGTGAACTCAGAAGTACTGTCACAAAATGTACAAGGAACATTCCATCTTACAATGTTATGACATTTAATCTCCCCAAAACTGTCTGTTCACTTTATTGCCATTAATTATTTTTCATTTATGCACTTATTCAGCATTTACCTTTAAACAGATGTAGAAAACTTAAGAAATGCCACTGACCGAGTATAAAAAAGGCACAGACTTTTGTGCTCAATATATAATGCAAGGAAGTACATAAAGTTTAACAACATTATGAAGACTCCTGCAAATAACACAGGATCTAAATATAACTAGCAAGTGGATTGTTTTCTGTCTCTGACAAAGGATGTACTTCATAACACAAAAAACAGAATAATTTTAACAAATAAAACATACAGATGTTTTTATTAGAAGAAGAAACCTAAGTTATTTTCTGTAATAAATCAGCAAAAGAAGTAACTGATGGCCTGAAAGGACTAAACCATTCCAGTACAATATATACTTGACAGAAGAAACAGAGGAGGTTTCATTAATTTCTTTTAGTATCCTTTTTACTTTTCTAAGCAAAGGAAAAAAAAAACATTGAGGGAGGAAATTTTTAAGAGAGAAATGTAAAATGAAACACTGCTACATTTTAGCTCTAATACTCCGTAACCAAAACTCAGATTAATGTCATAGCAGGACATGAAGCAATACACCTGTAGTCCCCTACCGTCCAGCAGGCATCTGGTGCATCTCTTGATGCTGATCCAAGAGGTTAACTATCTGAATCTCACTACGCAACAGAGGCACACCTTTTGGGAGGGAAGATTTGCGTTTCCACTGCTACATCCATGCAAGTCAAGAATCACAAACCAACCCACACACTCTGAAGAGGATGTTACAAAAGTGTGGGCCAGCTATCCCAAACTGGAAAGACTGAGCTAACTGCTGGACCATCTCCTCGCAAATCCCCTCTCCTCTTTTCAGTTAGTTCCACCTGAAGACCATCACACACATGTTTTTTGGTCTTTTGATACATACAAGTATGTGCTTGTCTATGGTACAGAAGCACAATCATGGCAGAATGAAAGAGCTTAATGTGCCCCTCTTTAATAATGATCCTTACACGGTGGAGATTTAGACTGTATTAGAGAGGACCTGAAATACCAGATGGAAAAATGATGCCACAACAAAGCAAGAGAGACATGAAGCAATAAAAACAGTGCAGTGACTGTTTTCACTGCCCTTTCATGAGGAATCCAAAGGGGATAAAAGTGTTTCATTGATTTTGGATCTCCTTGACAGACCTATCCCATGCACTGTTCACCAAGTTTGGGATCCACATAAATCGGTTTTGAAAGAAAAGCCACAGTTAAGGAATTGGGAGCCAGAGTAGGTGACCTGCCTGTTTTTTATCATATCCTCCTTCAGTATGTACTCCCCAGCCACACAGCAAGTGGACAATAGTGAAAGATGACAACAGCACCCAAAGCCAAGAATTTTCTCTTTCTAAATAATTTCCATAAGAAAAGATCTAATCTCATCTGAATCATAGAATAGTTTGGATTGGAAGGGACCTTTAAAGATCATCTAGTCCAAACCCCCCTGCCGTGGGAAGGGACATCTGCAACTAGATCAGGTTGCTCAGAGCCCCGTCCAACCTGACCTTGAAGGTTTCCAGGGGTGGGGCATCCACCACCTCTCTGGGCAACCTGTGCCAGTGTTTCACCACCCTCAGCGTAAAAAATTTCTTCCCTGTATCTAGTCTATATCTACACCCCTTTAGTTTAAAGCCATTCCCCCTTGTCCTGTCACAACAGGCCCTGCTAAAAAGTTTGCCACCATCTTTTTTTATAAACCCCCTTTAAGCACTGATAGGCTGCAAGAAGGTCTTCCCGAAGCCTTCTCTTCTCCAGGCTGAACAACCCCAACTCTCTCAGCCTTTCTTCATAGGAGAGGTGTTCCATCCCCCTGATCATTTTCGTGGCCCTCTTCTGGACCTGCTCCAACAGGTCCATGTCTTTCCTGTACTGAG